CAAAATACCTAACATATATATAGCAATATCACAGTAATGTTTTTAACTCTATGGTGTTGGACTCGAGAATTAATAGAATTCGCCCTTGTGTGGTACAATCGGATTGCTAAGTCCTCGTGTTCGTGCCCTCGTAGTTGCTCCATCTTCTCGACCTTGACAATTTGCGGGTTTAGACAGGGATGATGGTCACATATCTAAGAAAAAATCTTGATATCGACGTTGAAGGTATCTATCGAGCTGTCATTGCTCGTGCAGAATCAATACTATGACACATACTGTGTGATGTCCGCTAATAAATGTCATCGTACTTACATCGGCACGAGTAAGATCTTGTGAGTTGTGTCACTCAAAGGACAAAATCAATCTTTTTTTCTATTTTCTTGACTACGGTCCAAGGCCAAGTGAAATGTTGCATGTTCCAGCCTATACTTCACTTACTTATTAATTTATTATTATCATATTATTATATGTAAATTTATAGTTCCACTAATTAATTACCTACAATGCAAGGAATCTTCCTTCAAGTTGGGAACTTTAATTGAACTTCATATGTTAATTGGTTCATGTACTTTCCACAGCTGGAGAGGGAGGGAGAGAGTAGTTGAGGTTGCTAGGGCATCACATGCATGCAGGCTAGCTTCTATACACTGTACAGCCACCACCCTAAAGCTAGCTAGCTACATGCACACAGCTCCAGCCTCCAAGCCAAGGCTGTCAAACCGGTTCTAATCGTTACGCTGGTTTTGTAAGTAACATGATCTAATCGGTTTATATGTTGGTTTAGTTAAAAATATGTGAGGAAAGATAGAAAGCATTAACACCAAATGAATTATGCATTCAGATTCTCATACTCGAATCCAAAAAAAAAACTCTTTTCAATTTTGTTAAGTAATTCCACTAAACCGACACCCATCGTTTGTTTAGGAACCGAAAAACTGATCATTGTAGTTCAACCACCGATTTAATTACCAATTTTAACTACCGCAGAACCGCTTCGTACCAGTGATCTTCCAGCCGCGCGGTTTACATCCAATGCCAATTGAATCGAGTTGTCCCGATCGTCGACATACCAGTGGTTTGACAACCATGCTAGCTAGCTAGCTCCCATACAATATACTATATATATCCACCACCACCACACCATTGCTGCTTCATCTCTCTCTCACACTGAAAACTAAGCCTGCATTCGAGCCCATTAATTTCCTATTCAATAGTTTCAACCATCGACATTAAAAAATGGCAAATACTTCATCGAATATTCGGGTGTTCTTCTTCCTCTTGTTCCTCTCGTCTGCTCAACTATTCCGCTGCATCCATGGCGCCAGGCATTTGGAGGCGGCGGTAGCAAGACGAAGCAACAGTGCGATATTCCTCCAAAGCTCATCGTCGTCGGCGCCGTCGAATTTTTTTGTTGCCACAATTGCAAAATTGAGAGATGTGATAAAGACGGCATTATCAAGCCGCCATTATTATCATGGTGATATAAGGAAGCATATGAAAGATGGATTCGTGGATGCTTTTCGACCCACCACACCTGGTCACAGTCCTGGAGTTGGTCATTAGTTAATTAGTAATTAATTAATATATCATGTGTATTTGTGTTATTTGATATTGTTATTTTCATGAATATTGTAGTAGTGTAACCCAATTATTTCTAAATTTTATTATTATTTTAAATCGCTGAGTTTAACTATCATGGGATGAACCGTTGCAATGGTTGGAGATTCTGAACGAACCAATTTTAATGGTTTGGGGCTTTGGGCTCAACTTTTTTGTATGCGTTATTTCCATAAATAAAAAAAACTGAGTCGGCGTGGTTCTCGCCCATATATTCACTGTGTTCTTTGTTTTCTGGAGTTTGAGGTACCGCTGCACCGGAAAAGATACGTCATTTCTGATCATGGGAGGAGGAATTATTTTGTAACGTTTGTATACTAGAGGTGAATAAAATTTATTAAGAACGGACAGTACTGTATTCTGCCGACTACTATGATTGTATGTACCTGCCTGATTTCATGATGTTGTATATAATTTGTGTTGCAAGAAATTCAATATAGTGACGTTTCGATAAAAAAAATTATAAAATTGAGAAGGAAAATCATGCAAATTGATTTCAAAAATCAAACTAGTTGAACTATTGAAAGCAGCAATTCGACCTAGGAAAAAAAATGAAAAAACAGAAAGAAAGAAAGAAAAAAAAAAAGAAATGAAACGTGGAGTGAGTGAGTATGAGTATCCACTAGTTCTTGTCCGGAGAATTTTTAATCATTTGAAATCCGCGTATTCCCAGATTTCTGTCTTTTCTTTATTGATTCTTCATTAAGCCTGCAACAGAAGGGGGAATAATAAAGGCATTAGTATTTCCCCTTTTTTCTAGCTAATCTTTGCCATTAACTGCAAGCCGCAGGAAGAGAATCATAACTTTGGTTTGCTAATGATGGGTATTAAGTTGTTAATAAATCCTGATTAGGGAAAGGACAAAAGTCCCACCAACGTTTCCAGTTGGTAATTAACGAAAAGGTCTGCAAAGCTTAGCTAGCAAGCAGTACCAGTAGCTGGATCGTAACCGATCACCAATTAAGTTAATGAACAGTACATTAATCATAACTTCAGTGGGGAGGTGCATATGCTAGCAGTTATGGGACAGGTTACGGTGATTACTATAAAGTAATCATCACCATGGTTACTAAGGGTAAATTGGGCATGGAAAAATAAATTGTGAAAATGATCAAACATGTTCTTCTGTTGAAATTTGCTTCTAAAGACCGTCAATCATGATCGAATCTTGGTTTGAGCGACACAAATGTCTAAAATATTCCACATAATTATTTCCCTTTGGAATTGTTTTGTTTCTTTTGTATACCCAAATACCTCTAATAATTTCAGCTTAATGAGATCCGGAGAAGTAAATGAGGGGGGAAACTGACATTTTCCTTCACAATGTTGCCGATGTCGCGGGTAGTGTGAATCTCGGTTCAACCGTGGTTGACCATTTCTTAATGGAAATTTTAACATAAGGGCATGTTTCATAATTTTTCTAAAGTATAAGGACATGTTTGATGTAAAAAATAGTAGGGACACATGTTTGATAAAATGATATAGCAAAGAGGCATATTATACCTATAACCCTAATTAAAATTTTAAGCTCACTATTCAAACTAACAAAACTGATCCAACTCAACCCACTATTCGCACTGATATTGCAAACTCATGTTTGATATATTTTTTACCATTTCGGTAAATTATGAAAGAAGTGTAACAATTTTGCTGCAAATAAAAAGGTTTTTGCACATTCGAATTTGAAGTAAATTATTTTCTGACTTTCTGGTTACAAAGTTGATAATTATGTGACCATTCTTAGGGAGAAATGAAATATATTACGGATCTTGTTCGAGCTGGTTTCAAAACTTTATTATATGAATCAATTCTACATTTCCAAGCATCCACCTAACTCAACAAATCTTAATATTCACAACAACATATTGAAAGAGGAAACAACGTAACTGGTCTATACTACATTTTAACAAATCGCAAGAAGTAATCAACCAAAACTAAAGAAACAATAACATGAAATACACGATAGACGACTCACTCTCAACTATCGCGCACACGCTCTCTATAAGGTAGGAAAAACTAGTAAAATTTGTACCTCCACGCACAGGGAACAAAGCATGCAGTGTCTAAACAATGAGAATGTTGAAAACTTTTCTTGTATCCATGGGCCATGGAAGGCAAATAGAATATGAGACAACGAGCACAACCTCTTGGATGGCTATAAGCTAAGGTCTAAGCCACACCTCTTCCGCCCATTCTCTCCCTTCCCTCTTTTATTTTTTTCCACCTTTTGGGCTTTCAATAGTCCCACTACCCATGATACGTTATAGGGACGACAATTTAGACCTGATCTGTTTTATTCGATCTGTTTGATTTATTTGGGCCGGGTCCGACACATTTTATAGGCGGGGGAGGCGGGCATGGGTACCTCTCATCGACCTGACCTGTCCTGACCCGCCCCATTCTCGACCCGTTCTTGCCTAAATTACATGTAATTTTAGTCAAATTACTTAATTTATGTTGGCCTGAATCACATATGGTCATAAACTAAATTAAATGGTCTTACTAATTCGAGTTATTAAGATATTTTTATATATGGATCTTAACCACTTTCTTACATGTCCTGTCAAACGAAAGTTAACTTATGGGCTTTAAGCCTGCGCATGCACAATATACCATGTGTTTTAGGACAACTGTTAATATTGGTGGTCGTCAGGACTTAAACACGAACGACAAACCAGTTTTGCTACCATGTCATAAACAAATCGGTTCTAATGAATCGAATTGTTGCGAAAGATCTATATGGATTCTGAGCCACTTTCCTTACACAAATCACGCATGTCATAAACTAGTTAGTCTCAATAACTCGAGTTGTTGGGAGAAGCTGGTTTATGACATGGTACATCAGAACCTACTATGATCAAGAGATCTTATGTTCGAATCCCGACGTCCCTATTTGTTAAGCACATGGTATTCCGACATGTGCAAACTTCAAGCCCATATAAGTAGGATTCCGTTTCTCTCAAATCTCAATAACTCGAGTTAGGAAGAATTATTTCCTTACGAAAACAAACCCATCAGAATTGAAATTGCTATCTCATAAAGGAATCCCTCTTTACCTCCACTACCCTGGTTCCCCAACACATGCTTGTGCCCTCTTTCAAATCAACCATCAAACAAACAAACAAACAAACTGATGTGTACAGTGTACCAAACCCGTTGTTACTTGTTACCATGTTTCACCATTTGAAAAAAATAGACAAGACATGCATGAGATCGAATAAGGATTTTTGTTTTAAGTTTTTCCCTTAGCCATATATCCAATCGTACTATAAATACCAAGGGTCTTAAGTCCCATTTGAGAGAAAGACAAAGAGAGATAGATTCTTCAGTTCTTCTTGTAGCTTTGCAACCCAACTTACCCTAACCATACTAAACCTTGTAGCATGGCGATCAACAGAGAAACTTCAGTACTTAGTGTCCTTGTAATCTTCCTCATGATCATATCACGTGACCATACATCTATGTGCGTACAAGGCCGGCATTTGAGGCCGCCGACGGTGAGTGATCCTTCTACCAAGGTGTCGTCCGAGCTACTAGGCGGGAAGGTGGCGGCGGCGGGCGGCGGCGTGGGGAGGAAGATGGATTACAATGTGGATGATTTCCGACCAACCACGCCGGGGCATAGCCCGGGAGTTGGGCACTCCATCAATAATTAAACCCCACGTTTCCATTCTTCTTTGTTTTTTGTGTCTCCATTGTTTTTGATCCTTTTGTTGCCGTTGGGTGGCCGGAGGCAGATTGTTGCCTTTGTGTTGGTTAGTTTCTTTTTTGTTTTTTCAAGTGGGGATAGAGCAGAGGAGATGTGGGGAGTGCTTTAGATTTGCATCTACTGAATTTTTCAAATTTTGGTGTATAGAGGAGGCTACAGATTAATATGTCGAAACTCGGACGTAGTTTCAAATGAGTTTGCTCTCTTAAAACTTGTGTTTGAGCCTCCCATCGGCTGGATTTCGAGATATCTGATAGGCGGGATTCGAACAAAACACCTCTTGGCCAGAGAATGTATCTTGTACGTACTCTAACTAACACAAACATCATCCTATCATCCAGCGGCAAGCACTTCATGTAATTTTGGAGGGTCTAGGCAAAGTGAAAATAAAGAAGCATATGAAGACTTAAGAGACAAAGTATATAGAGAAGTACTAGTAGTTAATGTATATGGCTTGTTTATTTCCGAGAACAGAACTCCTGTTCATACAAGACGCGGAGTGCGTACATGTGGGTCAGGCGCCTGCCAGACTATTAATGCTATGGTCGGGGCGCCTGACATTTTCTGGCATTGTCTATGTACTCTTTTTCGGAATGGTGGCTGACAACACTGTATAGCTTTTATCCTCCTAGCTCCTTCCTTATGGTGATGTTGGCTTCTACGATTATGACTTCTCGTCGGGCTTCTTTGTTACGAGCTTTATTCTTGTTTTGAATTTTGACCCTTTTATTTCCTACCAATATGAATAATAGTTACGTATATCAACAAAGGAATATTGGATCGTCAAAATATTGTCTGAAAATTTATGTAGCACCAAAAATTTACGATAAAGTCATATGAATATATTACAAAATGCCTTTGAGTTAGTGGATGAGCTAAATATAGATGGTCACATTTGTACAAATGGCAAAGGTCTTGACCCAACCCCCACCATAAGACGAATGATGTGAACTAAACTAAGTCATGCCCTCTTTGCAATCTCTTAAAGAGACCTCTCATTTAGGAGCACAAACACACCCTTAGGGTTGGCGTAGTTCCTTCATCATGAAAAGATAGAAAAAGGGGAGGCAGAGCATGACACATAACCATGAAGGAAGAATTAGCTAGCACACAATGTTGTGTCGAGTTTTAAATAGGCCAAGCAGCAAGCCGCAAATTTGGCCGGCAAATTGAACCGGCCGGCAGGACTGTAATTTTGTAACCCCACATTTTGTACTGTTTGTCCGATGCCCTAAAGCACCACTAATTAGCACCATTGCGCCAACCTTAAAGTACTCCGTACGCCAAATTCCTTTTTTTCATGATCTATTGTATATCTCCCATCGCACGATTTTAAGGTGCATAATGATACAGAACTATCATCATCGTGGCAGAAGTCTTCACCGCGGCGGGATTGGTTACTGTTTTTGGTGGGAAAAATAGATGGATGGGTTACACCTGCCTCGTGTCAACGTGACGAGTGTTATTACGGTCTACATCGATCTCTTCGAACACAGTAAAAACGGGAGTGTTCGGTGCATACAAATTAAGGAGCCTAAGTTACTGTTATCCTACTCCTATTGAGATTTCTTGAGAGCTTCTTACGACTACAACTAAGAATACGGTTATGGAGGATCCTTCACGAGGGAGAGCTCCGCAAACTACAAAAGAAAAGGGAAAAGGGACGGTTACGTTGAAACAAGTTATCGGTGTGTTGGATTATGATTGTGTCCCTTTTTTCCAGAAGCTTGCTTCAAGTTTTGTTGCAAAGAGTCGTCCAACTCCTCTCTCTCTCCTCTTTTCGAAAAGAAGCTCCGTAGTATCTAAACTAGTCAGTTGTCATTGAGTTTTGTTGCAAAGAGTCGTCCAACTCCTCTCTCTCTCCTCTTTTCGAAAAGAAGCTCCGTAGTATCTAAACTAGTCAGTTGTCATCAATGAAAGTCTATATGCACGTCAGCGTGTCAAAATAGTCATCCATCGTGTTGTCATATTAAATTGGATGGTAACCATGTTGTCACGTTAGATTTCCCATTTCTTCTACCTCAGAAATTTTAGTTGGTGCTCCCGAGAAGTCACAGACGGCAGCATAACAGAACACTTTTCTTTCTCGTAGCAGGCCCCGGTCCAGCTGAGTGGGCTCTTCAACCCTAGCTGTGGCCTGTCATTTGGAGTCCATTGCAGTCCAACGCCATCCATGTCATGGGCTTTTTTCCCTTTTCCAATTGCACGCCTGCGGCCCACCGAGGAGATAGAGGCCGCAACAAGAAATCTCATTTGCCAAAAGAACGTTTTTTTTTAATTTACAAGGTGGTATAATGGTGAATTAAATCACATATAGAGAGGGAGTTACTCCCTTGTTAGTAGATTACATGATTTTTCCTAATTTCCTAAAAATCTGATGCACAACTTACTTATTAAATTATATTATCTTTGAATATCCTTAACAAAAAATTAGGGCTGCAACCGTGGAAAGGGTGATTACTGTCAAGAACCAGTTGAAATGAAAGTCAACCCATGGGCTTGAAGTTTGTACAGGCCCACCATACCTTGAAATGAAAGTCAACCCATGAGCTTGAAATTTGCACAGGCGCACCATACCTTGTGCTTTAATCAACTGTTAATATTGGGGGTCGTGAAGATTCGAACACACAAACACTTGGCCAAACAAGCTCTGGTACCATGTCAAGAACCAGTTGATCCCAATAACTCGAGTTGTTGGGAGAAGGTTGGATCTTATACCACTCTCTAACAATTACCAAACATTGAATATTTTCTGAAAGTACTGGTAAGCATGTATTTTCTCAAAAGAACACCATTAATATCAACTTATGGCCCTAACTTATTCGTTGATACTAATTTTTAGTTGGTGGTAATCCTTCATTTTCCCTTGGGACTTCATAATTATTAAGCTGCGTGTTTGATAATTAATGCATTGCATATTATTATTAATTGTGCTGGAATCTTACAGACAATACGCATAGCGAGGAATCCCCAGGCATTATTGGTTTGATTAGAGCTTTCACATTACATTATGATTCGGAATCTTACAGTTGACTATTGTGGCCAATAGGGAGATATCATGAATATCATACACTATTTCCTCCAAGTGAACCTTTCACTACTCCAGAATACAATGGTGTGAAATTAAATAATAAATGATGAAGTCTAATAGTAATTTAGATGAGATTACCCTCCTGGAAAGGCTCTTACAGGTGGTGGTGGAGGCAAAAATTAAGACGGAACGGATAAAAGATATAATCTTAAGTGATTTGAATTGTGGTAACTCGAATCGAATGGAGGTAGAGATTTATCGATTACTTTATTTTACAAAATTGTTACGAATTGAGTTTGTATATTTCCAAGTGGAGAATGACTATAGCCCCAACCTTTAACCTACCTCCGCCATGGTCTTCAATGTCATTGGCCTTGCAAAGATGCGGGACGATACAGGGGCGGGCCAAATCATGAGCTGCGATCCAATAGTAAAAGGTATCTTAAGATCAAGGATCAAACCATCATAGAATTCATCCGATTTGGTCAGATACAAATATCGATTTGATCCATTTTTTTCAGTGTTTATAAATTTATGAGACTAAGAACCGGGCAAGTGGGCAACACTACATTCGGTCTATTGAGGTCCAGTTGAAACGTTGATAAACAAAAAGCATTGCACACCCCTTGAATTGATAAAATAGAAGAGGCTTAATTGCAAGTTTGATCACTCAAATCGCTGCAAAATTTCACGTTTGCCACTCAAATTAATTTATTCCATTTATAGTCACTTAAATTAGGTTAACAGTCCAAGTTTGGTCACTGGCCGTTAGTCTCCGTTAAATTTTGCTGATGTGGCGGTCAATTCTTATAGTTGACCGTTAAATGCATGACGTGGCAATTAAAAATAAAATAAAATAAATTTAAAATTTGCACATCAGCCCAGTCCTCCAATTCTCGAAGCGCTTACTCTCCAAACGAATCTGGGTCACCATCTCCCCGACCCGATTCATCGCCAACACCGCCACTCTCACCCGCGCCGCCAGAAGCGACATCCATCTCCGCCCCATCTCCGACGGCTACGACGAAGGCTGAATCGCTTCTGCCGAGGACGGCCACTGTGACCCGTCTCTCGTGGCTTCATTGATATCTGCGTATGCCCACTGTGACCGCCTCAATTTAGCTCATAAAGTTGTTGACCAGGTCTTTAATTGGACTGTGAATCTAGTTGCTCTGAATGAGACCCTTCACAGCTTCATTAAATCCAGAGATTCAGAGTTGGCCAGAAAGGTGTTCGATAAAATGCCTGACCGAGATGTGATGACTTGGAACTCCATGATTGGAGGTTACGTTGATAATGGGCGTTTTGAGGAAGCCTTGAGGCTCTTCACAATGATGCTTACTTCAAATGTTGTTCCGAACAAGTTCACTTTTGGATCTGTTATGCCTGGTTGTGCAAAGCTTGGTAGTCTCCCTTGGCTCAGTGGCTGCATCAGCTGATGATCGATATGAGAATTGAAGTTAATTACATCCTGGTTGCAGCTATGATCGATATGTATTCCAAATGTGGTGGAATAGAAGCTGCAAAAAGTATATTCGAGAGGGTTCAGCGGGATGATGTTTCGATTTGGAACTCAATGATCAATGGCTTAGCAATACATGGTTTGGCACGGGATGCAATTGCAGTGTTCTCAAAGATGGACTTCGAAGATATTACTCCGGATGCTATAACATTTCTCGGAATTCTGTCCGCTTGTAGTCATTCTGGTTTGGTCAAAGAAGGCCGACATTACTTCAATCTGATGAAAAGTCGGTGCTCGATCGAGCCACAACATGAGCATTACGGTTCCTTTGTTGACCTCTTGGGTCGAGCTGGACTTCTTGAGGAAGCTTATGAGGAAAGGGGTAATCGTGTCATGGTAATGGTAGAGGAAGCCTGGGCCGATATATCGCTCCTGCAATATATCTTAGGAAACAAGGGCAGATCGCTTCCGTAGCCTGGGCCGAGCTGGTTTCCTGCCGGTGTCATCATACTGGCAACAAATTCTAGCAGTGGTGTTTGTTGTACGGCGGATGAGAGCCGCCGAGCGGAGGCGCCGGGAACGTTGGAGATCAAGACGAGGAGAAGAAGGGAGAAGAGGGTAATCGGAAGAGGACCCAACGAAGCCTTAAGTTGATATCAGTTCATGGGATGGGAGCCCTCAGTTGATTGAGAAGGAATTCCTAGCCGAGGTTAGATTAGCAAGGGTTTTTATTATTTTTATTATTTTTTAATAGTTGAGGTGGAATTATAATTTTTAAATTTTTTAATTGCCACGTCATGCATTTAACGGTCAACTATAAGAGTTGACCGCCACATCAGCAAAATTAACAGAGACTAACGGCCAGTGACCAAACTTGAACTGTTAATCTAATTTAAGTGACTATAAATGGAATGAATTAATTTGAGTGGCAAACGTGAAATTTTGTAGCAATTCGAGTGACCAAACTTGCAATTAAGCCAATAGAAGAACTCATCTTTTGGTACGTTTTGTTGGTGTTTGTTTAATAATATATAGTAGATGATAAGAAAGATGATAATGGGAACTGAATATTGCCTTGTGTTTTGTGCTGTGCCCATAAATGAGAAAGGGTTGCGACAAAATGAAAAGGGGGAAAAGGGTCCTTCTCTGAGTCATTTACCACTGCAGGGTAGTGGTACTATTGTTAGGACAACCGACCATTATTTGCCGAGTGTCACAAAGGTAAGAGGCCGCCGAAAACAACAAAAACAAAAGGAAAACATCTCTGGTCACTAGGGCCGAAAATGGGTTCGATCCGCCCCTGATCCTGTGTTGATCTTGTCTGACCCGTCTCCTAAGGGTCAAGATGTATAACTGACTCACCCTGATCCTATTTCTTTCATGATCCTATTTGGCCCTTTAGGGTCAGGGTGGGTTAAGAAGGGTCGGATCAGTGGGTCGATCCTAATAAATACAATACTTTTCTAAAATTACAATTTGGTACCCATATTTATTTTTTCTTACATTTTGGTACCCAAAATTTTTTCCTTTTACAATTTAGTACCTAAAGTTTTAAAATTTTACAAATTGGTCAAACGTGTTTGTATGATGCTAAGGGTCATAGGGTCAAAAAGTGACCTGACCCGACCCTAAACTGACCCTGTATAGCTCGACCCTGGGGGTCGGGGCGGGTTGGTGGGTTTTAAGGGTCAAACTTACACCCCTACTTGTCACGTTGCATCATTTGCATATAAAGCCAACGCATTTGCATTATTTGTGCTCATTCACGTCATTTTTTATGTTCATTTACGTAATACTATGATGATTTACGTAAGAGTGTAAGTTTTTCACGTAAATAGAAATTCAGACTTTTTCTCCCTAATAATTTGTATTGGCTATATGTTATGGAATTAAATTTGGATTATCAATTAAACTGTAAAAATATGTTGCATTGATAATAATCTACACACAATGACATCCATTTTGATCAATTTCAAAGTTTAAAATGTTATTTTACAACGGCGTGAATAATTAACAATATGTGTGAATGAACACCAGGTTGTTGCGTGACCTAACAAAATTGGTTGCGTGAATAATCAACACTCTTATGTGAATAACGCAAATATGGCGTGAATACAACAAATATGACGTGAATAACCCAAAATCTGGTATTTTGTCACCTACAAGAGCCTTCACTCAAAACAAAATAACACTAAGCGAGTATATTACGCTAATTGTATTATCTATGAAAAATGATTATTTTATGTGGTTAAGCTTCAATTTTGAAGAACGATGAACGGACGAAAGTAAGTAAGTAAGTAACACGGCGAAGCAAGCCGGCGTTGAACGCAAGTGAAAAGGATTGCTTGCCCCGGCGAACAAGTTGAGAATCGGGTCCCACAAATATAAATGTGGGTTTTCAAAGCCATAATCATCCGTTCTTCAGAGTCATTGAAACCGTCAAGCAAGGCCGGCGGTCACGCCGACGGGCGACGACAAAGCGGTTGAGATGGACAAAGGCGAGTTTGACACACCGCCGCCGCCACCTTGGTAAATTACTAATTGGATTCCACAACTCCACGGCGGAAATTAGAGACAGCGCTTTCTCTCCATCAGCGCGGTCCCAATTGGATTCATGGGAATCTACAACGACTGTAACGCCGCCGCCTCGACGTCGCTCTGTTGCTTTGATCGTTGGCCGTTAATTTCGGTACTGTGTTACGTTGGCCATGCCTAGTGGCATCGCTATGGTCCCATCTCGTTGAATTTAATTACCCTTTGTTGTCTTTCTTTTATAGAGGCATGAAAAGTCTAATGAATTTGAAAGAGATTTTGAGGTTGCAAATGAGTTTTAGAGTGGAGTTTCGATCTAATTTGGGGTCTGCGACTTATTGATAACCCAATTGAGTTGGACTTGTATTTACTAAAGTTTTGGCTAGTGTTTAACTCGAGTTCGGCTCATTGATGAGCTCACGAGTTTGACTAATCAATAAGTTCGTGAGATCGGCTCGTGCTGCTGCTAAGGTATCATGTCATTTAGTTCATAATTTTTAATTGTTCACTTCACGTTTATTTAATAGTAATTAGTATTTGAGCAGTACATGATACATAATTTATCTTTTGGACTTGTTCATTATAGTCATATATCGCATATATGCTCAGATTCTTAAACATAATATGTGGTGAATCTAACAAAACTATATATGAATTATATTATCAACGAGTTAATATTAAACTATTAATCGGCTCGTTCATAAATTGCTAGTTGAGGTAGCTCCCTCGCTAAAATTGTCCAACGAGGTCATTGCTCAAGATGAGCTAGCTCATGAGTTGAGCTCAACAAACCACCAAGTCGCGCGAGCTGGCTCACGAGCCTTGCGAGCCTATCGAATGTGACTTAGCTCAAACTCGACTTATTAGTAAATGAGTCGTGTATCAAACGATTTAAATACGAATTAGGGTTTTTATTTGATGGAGCGGGTAGTTTATAACGAGTCAATAATGAAGTGAGGGCTACAAGTAATGTATTTGCGAAGGCCAAAGCTACCCCTTCAAGCTTATTTTCTATCGGTTAACTTAAAATTTTAGTCTCGATTTCGAGATATCCTTGTAAATTTGCCACAATTTGTCAATTTCACATCTCACACGTAAAGTCACTTAACATTTAATTAAGTTGGACCAATGCAAAAAACAGTCAAAATATAAGCTCACCTACTTAGTGATACCAAGAAAAGGCCAAAAGAATGCCGCTTGCAGTGACGAATAACGGTGGACAAATATGGCTGTATCGCTTTCAGCTTGGTTCCATTAAGTCAGTCAGGGTCATTTTTATATATATACATATCTTGCCTGAAAGTCAAGGTTGAACTTAAGACAACGCACACCACATCAAAATAGTTTTTGTGTCCATTGAATACTTTGATGCATACATATGGATTAGAAAGGGTCAAAATTTAGCATGTTGTCTCTAGGAATGATAATGGAGCATGACGAAGTGGTATCTCAATACACATATTTATTTTATAGTCAGTTGGGTATTGTATCTTTGATCACTTGTTGGAGCAGGTCGACTCATATAGTTATGTAATTTAGAAAAAAAAAATATTTAAAATATTAAATTTTCATTATAAATTTGAAAAACTGATAAATGTAGTTAAATTATTAGAGGTATTGAAGTTATCACATATTTACAGGTTTATTATAGTTAAAATATGATGTAATAAAAGTAGAATTCAAAGTTATTTTAGTAAAATCTAGAATTATTTGCGTAAACTATATCTAATTCATGCACAACAGGTCAATAATAGGACTGATAAGGTCGATGACAGTACACATGCATATAGGGATGACAGTAGAACTCGAATCCACGGGTACCCTACCCGAACCAACCCGGTCAACACGGGTAAAACTCGCTTTGACGGATTGCAGGTCAGGTTCGGGTTTAAATCCGCCATATTTTTTGCAGGTTGGGTTTGGGTTTACCCATATCCAATCCGTGGATGTCGAAATCCATACTTCCCACGATCCACGGAACCCTTAACTAATTAACTATAATAATTTCTAAACTAATTCCTCACACGTTCAATTAATCATATTATTTGTGGATGTTTATTTCTAATATTGAACAATTGGTATGAATGATTGTGAGTTAGTGTGTATGTAGTAGACAATAGTAGTGAAAACTAGTGTAATTGCATCTTTTTACATGAACCCATACGTTCCCATGAACCTGCGGATACCCAGCGGTTGTGTTGGGTTTGAGATTTCCAAATTCAGTGGGTTTTACCCCCGGTGTTTTTTTTGGATAAACTCATGAATTTGGGTTTGGGTTTGACAATAACCCACCCCAACCCGATCTATTGTCATCCGTACATGCATATTTGTCCCGTATCGCCTACATGACAAGTATTATGCGCTCCAAATTAGATCAAACAGACCAGCTAAAATTGATCACGTCAAAATTGTTATCTCTAATCATCTGTTTATGCTTCTTGGGAATTAATAAATTTCCAGTAGAGGTTTTTTTCTCTCCAAAATAGATCAAATCGCCCAAATAATAATAATCTTTATAGTAAACCCATCCTATATCAACTACAAGTCTTAAGATCACTTTTTTGGTAAAAATCTTAAGATCACTCTGATTGAAGCATTTACATTTTTACTAGAGTCGACTGCATATTATTGAAACATACAACTTACAATTTTTTTTCATACATTGAAACAACATTTCTCATGTAGTTTCAATGTATGAAAAAAAAATTGTATGTTGTCTTTCTTTTGCGTTGCTTGGTATTTTTAAAAAAAATAATAAGCAACCCAAAAGAAAGACAACAAATTTTTTTTTCATACATTGAAACTACATGAGAAATGTTACTAATAAAAAAGGAAAACAAGTAAATCAAATGTTGTTTCAATGTTGAAAAAAAATTGTATGTTGTCTTTCTTTTGGGTTGCTTATTATTTTTTAAAAAAATAATAAGCAACCCAAAAGAAAGACAACAATTTTTTTTCATACGTTGAAACTACATGAGAAATGTTATTAATAAAAAAAAGGAAAACTAAGTAAATCACCTAAAAAAATCTCCTCATTTTGTGTGAGTCAATAACAAATTTTTTCTCAGATATGAAAAAATCCCGAAATTTACGATTGGTAAAAATCTAAACCCTAAAATTCTTCCCCAAATAATATATATTCACTCTCTAATTTTAATTCTCTCACTCAATCTCACATTACACAATTCTTCCACAACAATACTACCCAAAACCACTCACAGCAAAGCCAAATCTAACAAATTCCCAAAAAATTGAAAACCATATAATAACACTCCACTTCCAAATTCCAATCCCAAAATTCGTCTGAATTTCCATACACATAATATTTTTTTTTTCCCCTCATAGAAATGGAGACGAAGAGGAGGAAACCCCTTCTGATTTGCTCTATAGCGACCGCCACTGTCGTCGCTATAGCCATCCTCGTCGCCATAACCCTAGCGTTCACCGTGTTCAAGCCCCGCGACCCGGCCGTCAAAATCTACCTAGTGGGTCTGCGCAAACTCGGCGCCGACGATTTGCTATCGGGCCGGAACGTCACGACGGATATGGTGATCGGAATTAGCAACCAGAATTACGCCGGTTTCAAGTACGCCAACGCGACGAGCTTGGTGACATATAGCGACGACTTGGTGGTGGGCGAGGTGCCCGTCCCGGGGGGCGAGATCCGGGCGCGGTCAGACGTGAACGTGACGACGTCGGCGGTGCTGATCCCGGCGAAGCTGATGAAAAGCAGGGCGGCGCTTGAAGAGGCGTTGGTGAGCAAGGCACTGAAGCTGAAGGCGGCGGTGATGTTGCACGGGACGTCGTCGTTTTGTGGGGTGAAGGTGAAGACGTCGGTGTACACGGAGTGCCATCTCACGGTTGTGCTTGGGAAGGTGCCGAGAGGGGAGAGCTGGTGTTGGAGCAAGCTGAAAATAAATTAACTTTGGGAAGTGTAGGTTAAATGGTGATTAGTGATCACTTGTTTTATTTGGATAAATACATTGTGTTGTTTTGTTTTTTTTGGTATGGTAATATTAATTAGGCATCTATAATTAACTTTCAGTCGACGATTTGAGTTATTGGTATTGGAGCTGGTTTATTGACATGGTATCGGAGCTGGTTTGGCTGAGTGTGGTTGTACGTTCGGAACTTCACGACCCTGAACGTTAACAATTGATTAAACCGCAAGATACGTTGAGTATGTGCAAACTTTAGAACCCTTGAGTTGGCTTATATTTGAGGGGCGGGCAAGCGAATAGCATATAATCCACAATTAACTGTAATAACTGCGCTGCTACGGATCGGGAATCGCCGGAATCGAGAAAGCGAGAATCGAAAACAGACATGCGATTTACGTGGTCAGCTAACACAATGTGTGTTAGCTAGTCCACGGGCAGGAGAGAGCCAATTTCACTATATTGAGAAGATTAAGATTACAGATTACAGAGGGGATGAGAAGTATTTATATTTCTCTGTGTGGGTCTAAACCTAATCTAATATAGTAAAGAAAACGGTTATAGACCAGGCCCAGAACCCGAACCCAAATAATATTGAGCCCATACACCGCGGGCCATGGGCGTTGCCCCTGGTCCTCACTCGCTGATTGGACATTGAGACCCCGTGACTTCCAGCCGTAGTGGCTGATAGTCCGATCCAAATCACATCAACAATAACTTTTTCCAACAACTCGAGTTATTTTAACGAATTGGTTTTATCAAACATCTGTTGACCACATTTCTAACTTCCCATTCTTGGAATAGCTACTGAGGGAATTAACAATTAAGTCAATCAATTGATCCTCGAGAACATATTCAAGTTTAGGAACTTGCAACTAGCCTAAGCCCTCCTTCGCGAAAAAAGGAGGCCAAACATCATGCACATCCTCCACACACACTAGGTCTCAATCTCAACTTTAGAGGTTGTCGAATCAGATTAAGCCATCATGTCGGTTTGGCAAGTGGGTTGAGTTTAATGGTCATATTAAATTCAACCAGTTTAAACCCGATTAACATAATATGTAGGAAAATCTATGATACCAGATAAATTATACATATATCTAAAATATTTTAAAACAATCTCACTAATCTGCATTCAGATATTATCAAATTATTTCTTCTAACATAAATATATATCACCAAATATCAATCCTCGTCTTCAACTAGGCCTGTCAAAACGGTTTCGGGTTTCCGATTTAACCCGAACCGATAGTAAGTGTCTTCGGTTTCGGGTTTTCAGTTTCAACCCGAGAAAGGCAGATGCCGGTTTCGGTTCACCTAAACCCGAAAATCAATAGGGAACCCGAAAACCGAAGCTCTCAGTCTCAGTTCTCAGTTAAGTTTTATGATGACGTTTTGAGTTTTGTTTGCAAGGGTCCTTCGCGGCTTCGCCCCATCGCCATTGTCTTCGAAAACCCTAAACGCTACACTGCAGCGCAGTCAGAGCTTCGCCAAAACCTACCCTGCAACTCTTCGCCATCCCTTCGCCGACAACTCATCCGTTCGTTCAAGATCGAAGCTTTCCTCGTCGGGCGTCGACCCTTGCACATCTGGGTAATGCAACCCTTCTCCGATATGGTTTTAGAGTTTCCATGGGTTCGTCGATTCCTCCCCTGGCTTCATCGTATTGGGTTTTGATTTTTGCAGGTATCAAGCCCTTTGAGGCTTCGACAAAGGAGATGCCACCCCTTCGCAGTTCGCACTTCGTCGAACGTCCTTCTTCAATCTAGTGTTATGGTTCCCCTGGTCTCGTTGATTTCTCTCCTGGCTTCATCAATTTGAGATCAGCTATGGCATCCCAGTAAGCTCCTCTATCTGACTATCTATTGCTCTTCTTCTTGACCACTTATTTGCTTTCTTCGCTTGCTGGTGCTCTTTACATCCTTCTGCTTCTTCTGGCAAGTAGTGGATTTGGGTTTTATTGTGTCTTTGCTTCTTGTGATTTTGGTCTACAAATGGTGCTTGTATAATTATTAATTAGTTTCAAAACCCAGATAGAAGAACAAGTACTCTGCCCTCCATTTCTTCACTAAGCTTCTTTATTAGGGTATGATAATCGGTTTCTCGCACATACGGGCCTAGCTGCAGCTCCTTCATTTTATGAATTGCAAATAGTAAAGCCTTAGCTTCTGCTTCTTCAAGCTACCATATGCAATCCACCCTTTTGACTGCTGCATAATAAGATATGATTAAGTTACGTATAAAATATGTTTAAGTATTTTACTTTGTCTCTAAACTAATAATACTCTTTAATAGTTAATAGTATGTCTATAGTTATAGAATACATAAAATTAAATATATTAATAATTCATTAATATTTTAATAATAAACTAATATATAAATATTAGTTTTATATTGTCCACGTCCCATAAAATTAAACATAATGGTTAAATATAGTTTCGGGCTGTGTGGCCTCGGTTTTGGGTTTTTGGTTTTTGCGGATCTCGGGTTCGGTTACCCGACCCGACATGCCTATCTTCAACCAGATACATTGCAACTTGTTTTGAGTGGTTTGATCTAATCTTTTTTTTTTTTTTTCAAAAACCATCCAAACGGAACGTATTCCTACCATTCAAACCCTCAATTTCGATCGGCCCAAATTGAACCGACCAGCCGGATAACGGGTTGACAAATGACAACCTTGCCTGAGGCAACCACCTTTACCCAAGGAACAAGCCCAAAAAGAGAGTTTTTGGTCCAATCTCTCTTCCCCTCCATGAAAGCTCCAACGGTCCAACCCTAAGCTCCCACCACCACCAGCACAAGGAACGAAGCCAGCTTTAGCTGATGGAGATGCATAAAAAATTGGAAATTCCCTCTGCTCCCAAAACTCCCAAAACTACCCTTGTCGAGAGAGAAACCGCCAAACGAGGAAGAAGACAATTTAAAAATAAATATATATTTTGATTGGGTGCGGTCGAGGTCTAGAAAGGCGAGCCCACCCAGCGGGCGGTGCGGTCAGGCTCGGACCACAATGCAAGCCAATATCCCCTTTTCTCCCAACGTCACCGGGGGGTAATGCGGTAATATCACTCAGGGGGTTTAATTAATTGACGATATTAGCGACAGAAGCCATTTTTTTTTTAATTTTTAATAATGATTTGTGTCGTTAATTTAATTTAGGGAGGAGAACCATGCACCGATTCCATCGAGCTGACAGGAATGGATCAGGTCAGTAACTTTATGGTGAGTAACCATGAGTAACCCGTCCACATCAGCATGACATCACAATCCTCTCTCTCATAGAAAGCCTTTAATTTTTCCCTCTTTAATCTTTAACGGACGATTTCTCGCTCATTTTAAGTTGAAATTTAATTTTTTTTGCACAGTTAGATCAGATTAATTGTGCTCTTCAAAATGATATCCACTTTAATATATTTTTCGAACAAAAAAAATTGAGCCATTTTTTACCAGCCTATACCATATGGTATTGACTGGTATTGAAATAAAAGCATACCTATGTTTTGAAAAACGTACCATGGTGGTATGAACATACCAAACTGTAAGATGGTTGAATACATGATAGTAGAAGTATATTAATTGTAATTTACGACTTTTAACATTGTATACAACACAATACCACCCCGTACCAGGGTGGTATTGTATGGTATTGTGTGGTATTTTTAGGTCCTGTAATTTGTTCACCCAGAAATTTGTAGATCCAATAGATCATGATGAACTCGTCCCTTCTGTGCAAACGTTTTCAAAAACGAATTAAAAACGAAGAAGATACCATACAATACCACCCCGTACCAGGGTGGTATTGTATGGTATTGTGTGGTATTTTTTGGTCCTGTAATTTGTTCACCCAGAAATTTGTAGATCCAGTAGATCATGATGAACTCGTCGCTGCTGTGCAAACGTTTTCAAAAACGAATTAAAAACGAAGAAGATACCATATGGTATGCAGTTGGTACCGAGATGCCAGAATTTTTTTTTTCTCAAAAAATATTGAAAATTGATCTCATTTTGTAGAGCACGGTGAACTCGTTCCATCTGTGCAAAAAAAATTAAAATCCGAGTTAAAACAAAAAAGATATGAGTCAATTAAGAAAGCTAGTGAAAATAAAAATAGGCTTTAATTCTCCATCCTTAGATCTTGATTTTCTAAATGAAGGGTCCAGATTTGGTTATTGATGGGTGCATAACCCATGGTTATGCACCCTATCTTGAGCCGTCCCCATCACCTCTCCCCCACTAAGTCATTAACCAAAATTGAAAATTTAATTAACTAAATAAACGTCAAGAGTTTGATAATAAAATTAACAACGGAATCGTTTAGAATAATGACATGATTATCCCTAGTTAATTAATTAATTAATTTCGGAGTTCGGACTATCCCATAAGAGCTAGCTTTGGTTTGTTGTCTTCATTCTCCCACTGGGCTGAAATTCCCATTTCTGCCCTTCTCTGTTTGATCGACTTGTTATTATTGTTTTTGTTGTTGTTGTTAACCTCCCCTTTTTTCATTTAATTTTGGGCTAATACCACTACAACACCCAAACTATCCGGAAAATGTCACTTGTGTCCTATTGTTTCCAATATTCCATCTGTGTCCTGAACTATTATATTTTGTGTCATTTGTATCCTACCAATTGTGTTGACCGTTAAAGATAACAGTTGACCAAACGGCAGTCAACTTAACATTGACTTTTACTTACGTGGCAATGCCAAGTCATTGACACCTCACATTTTTAATTCAAAATTAAATAAATTTTGAAAATAAAAAAATTGAAAAAACTTTAAATTCAAGAATATTATTTTAACCTAAAATTAATATTAGTTTTTAACCTAATCTCTTCTCTTCTCTCCGCCTCCGCCGGGACCTGTAGCTGGAGAAAGGAGCTGTGAATCCGTCACCAGGTCACAACTTCGGAGAGCTTTGTTCCAAACCATTCGGAGAGCTGTGAATCCGACTTTCCTCCTCACTTCCGTCGTCGCGGCAG